GGGTGCTGTCTGCTTCCTGCATTGCTCCAAGTTTGGGGAAGCACCTAGGAGGAGAGTCAGCTTCTGCCGCCCTCTCCCAGGCCTCTGGTGTACCAGCTCTCAAGGGAGCTCCCCTGAAGCTTATCCTTCAGTGGGCACCCAGGTTGTGGCACCCAGGCAGAGAGGAAGCCTGGAAGTCTGGGTCTCTCAGGGAGAGGCAGCGGGTGGCGACCCCCTACTCCCCCAGTCCTGTTCTTTGCCTGGCTGAGGAAGAGCAGTCCCCTTTTCCTGGTAACACCTGAGTGTACTGACAGGACACCTGCTGTCCTGTCTCCTCCTTGATCCTCTCTGATTGGGTCCCTCCCTCATTCGGGGGAAATGGCAGTGCTAAGAGGTGGGGTGTGGGCTCTGCCCTGTCTCCAGTGATGAGGGAGGCAGGGATCTGTCCCTGGCCGGACTTAGCCCCACACTTGAACTTGGCCTTGCAGCATCAAGAGCAGCAGAGAGCCCATCCCCCCCGAGCTGCTTGCTCAGGGCGTGGGGCCGGGGCCCTCCCTCCATGACTACTGTCTTCCTGTAAGTCTTCACCATCCTTCCTTCTTCCTCCATGCAAAACAGGGCAGGAGCGGGCGCTGCCTGGGCTGTGCTGTGCCCCACTCTGGAGCAGAAACGCTGGCTCCGGTGCAGGGAATTAGGTCAGAGGAGTTTGGGGAGCCCTGGGGCATGGTGGATGGGGCGGATGAATAACTGCTGGTGATCATTCCTGTTAGCTCCTTGTCCCCGTAATTTCCCCTGTGTGACACAGGAGTGTTCCGGGTTCAGGTAATGAGCATCCCTTCAGTTTCCCCGGGGCTCCCTGAGTTCTTGTGATATTGCTGTCCGGAGACCTCATTTTCTCAACCCCTCCTACTCCCCCAATTTATCCTTAGAGACTCAATGCAACCAGAGATATTTAGTTTTTTTTTTTTTTGTCATTTTCTTCTTTATATGAAAGGAGTATTACTTTTAGTCACAAAAATGTAAAGATGAGGCCCTCCCTGGTGGCGGGTTAAATAAAGCACAGCACTAAGAATCTTAAAGCCACTTCCTCATGAGTTCAATTCCTGCATGCCCTGTAGGTGACCACATGGCATGGCAGACCCCTCCTGACCCCACCCACTGCTCCCCTCAGCAGTGTACTTCGTGGATCTGTCTGTTCTGCTCCCCACTCTGTCTCTAGTGAAGCCTCTCGCCACCCCTGAGCCTCTGGCCTGTACCCCAGTTCTGTATGCACAAATAAATAAATCTTAAAAAAAAATGTAAAGATGATCTGAAGGGTGATAACTGAGAGGTTGGAGCTATATATAATCACATAAAGTGAAAACTAAAAGAAATAAGTGGAAATTAATAGTCCTCTCCATCATCCCTGTTCCCCATTCCTTTCCCCATCACAGTTTCTTAATCTCAGAGCCCTCAAGATGTTTATTTATCACTGTTTTTTGAGTATGTTATGGTAGAGAATTGTCTGCTATGTAATATCCAGTATTTGTTTTTATCACTTGACTTACTTTGCTGCACACAGCTTCCCCAGTTCCTTCTATTTTGTTGAAAATGATTGCATTCCATCCTTTTCTTAACAGCTATGTGAAACTCCACGTGTGGACACACTACATCTTCTTGATGGCCATTGAGGTTGCTTTCTTGTCTTAGTTATGAAAAACACCATTACTGTGAATTTTGTGGAAGAAATGGGTATTTTCCTTGGTGGTTTCAGATTCTCTGTATACATGGCAGATGAAGTGACTTGTTCATATGTCTTTGGCCTTCTGTATATCCTCTTTGGTGATCTGTCTATATCTGCTGCCTGTTAATTATTGGTTTTCTTTTTTTATAGCTAAATCGTTTGTGTTTTTAAAATATGTCTTATATATTAATCCCTTATCAGTTATATATTGTATGAATATTCAGTAGAGTGTCTATTTCATCATTTTGTATCTCTCACTGTATAGAAACTTTTTTTTTCAGTTTAAAGGTCAAATTTATTAGGAGATTAAAAGATGCATTATACATGGACTAGAAATACTGCACAGCTGACTTTATTCACAGTCAAGTGCAGAGACATGGTGCCAACCTATTTTGTTGATACTCTTATTCTTTTGTTTCAAGAAAAGTTTGCACCTTATGACTTGGACTTGGGTTTTGGCACCTTTCTCTCGTCAACATCATAGCTGTAAAGGCAGCTGTTCACTTGATTCATTTTTTTCTGCAAAGGCAACTGCATCGTCTTTAGTACTGAAGGTTAGAACCATGTTAGACAAAGGATCAGCTGTTGATGCCTAACCCACCAAAGGATTTTCCCATCGCTCCCTGGTATCAAACTCCATCTTCCATTTCTTTGTGTTGTTTACTCCAGACTGCATGCTATTTCAAGCAGGAACAAAGATCCTGACTTCTAGTTTTGATGTGTTCTTCTGGAACACCGGTGAAGTAGTAATATGCTTGCTGCTCCATGTGGCTTCCTCAGGTCTCCTTCTGACCCTCCATCCTGCTTCCTTTTTCTCCTCTGTATAGAAACTTTTAACTTGAGTAATCTCAATTATTTATTTTTGGTTTTTATTTCCTCATCATATGGGTTGAGTCACCAAAAATATCTTTACTGTTGACTTCGTGGGACATCTTATTGATGTTTTCTTCTGTGTATGTTATTGTTGCAGGTCTTAAAAATACACCTTTAATCCATTTGGGATTTATTCTTGTGTATGGTGTTAGCAACTTCATCCTTGTATGTGTGATTTTCCGATTTTACCAGCACAATGTATTAAAGAGACTGACATCCCCCCACTTTATGGTCATGGAAACTCTATCATAGATGAGCTGCTGGTATGCCCATGGCTTTTATTTCTGGACTTTTGATTTTGTTAAATGGGCCCATGTGATTTATTATTGTGCCAATAGCATATTGTTTTTAATACTGTTGTTTTATATTAAAGTTTGAAGTTAGGTAGTATGACAGCTCCTTTTCTCTCTAATTTTTTTGTTGCTTTAGCAGTTTGAGGCCTTTTGTGGTTTCATATAAATTTCAATATTTTTTGTTTTGGGAACTTGAGAAAATTATACTCCCTTCTCAGGCTTTGACAGTTTTCTCAGGACTTAATGAATCAAATAAACAGAAACATCAATTCTGGTAAAGAACAAGGGAGGTAAACTCTGCTGTGGCAGAACAAAAGAACATAAACATAAACACATAAATGAGTGATTATAGCTGGTTTCCAACAGACTTTACTTGCAAAAAGAAGTGGCCAGCTGAATTTGGCCTTTACCATAGTTTGCTGACTCCTGACAGAGAACATTTGAGCAACACAATGAACACATTTAATTATATACATATGCATATACAAATTTGTACCCAACCATAGAGAATACACACAATCTAAAAACACTTGGAACATCCAGAAACATAATCCATATATTAGCTAAAAATGGAGTTGTGTAAAATTAACTGCCGCTCAGTATGGTCATCTTGCCTGCATTTACCTTGGGCTTCCATTCCTGGGCCCAAGTACCCATCTTTCTAGCCAAGCAGATGCAGCCGCATGTTCCACACTCTATTTCCAAGAGCTTTGGGGTCACAGGAGAACCCAAGCCATCAAGGGAAGCCAGCCTGGCCAGCCAAACCGGGCTGGGCAAAAACCAGGGGTGGGGGTGCGGCATTTAGCGGGTTGGGGTTAGTGGGTTGGTGGAAGTCCTGGACCTCAAGGGATGAGTTAGATACATGCATCTGGGCAGGGCATGTCAGAATTTCCTTGTATTGCTTCATTGTAATGGAAGTCTAAACATCACCTCATAGTCTCTTTGCCTTCTACAACAATAAAGCCACTATTGCAGTAGAAGAAAAGGTAGAAATTCAGGTACAGAAAATGTGTTTCAATAGTGTGAAAGATGGTGGTTGGTGAGTCTTGAATCTCCAGTATCAAATATAGAATCAATGTTCTCAAGATGCTGCATACTTTGATGGGGGCAGTCTGTTTTTTCTCTGATCTACTTTTATGATCCAAGTTAGGCAAACACACTGGGTGAGGACTTCTT